ATTTCCATTTTGCCCTTTGATATGACTTCTTCGGCTTGAATGGTATAATCGCCCGTATCTTCCTCTTTGACGTCGTCGAACACTATTCGGTGTACTGTTCCATCCTTTTCCTCGGTTACATGGATATGCTTAGTCAACTGCCTTGGCAACACCTTTCCATCTTTTCTCCATTCAACTTTTTCTCTTGAAGGTCTTGACAATTCACACTCGAAGACAATCGGTTCATCTTCGGTTGGTGCTTGCGTTACTACGATATCAGGTAACTCGCGTACAAATTCTAATGGTATTCCTAGAATTTAAAATAGATTCGCATTACCTTCACTCACATTGTCGGAGTTAAAATTGTGTTTTTGTTTGAACTCACCAAGTCGTATAGGATTGGATGGTTGAGAAGGCTCACTTTCACCGGACTTATTTCTTACAGTTATTCTGAATTCATAATCCGTGTATTCCTTTAGGTTGTCTGTTTTTAGAGAAACCTTCCTATCAGGTGCGACTATGATTTCGCGTTCGCTCCAAGTGTCAGTTCCCTTCGGTCTCACTTCAATTTTGAATTCATCTGTCGGACTTCCATCAGGTTGATCCCACGACAACTCAATCGACTGTGATTGGCTGGGTGCCTTTTTCGGATAAGCTTCAGCATGAACATTAATCGGGCGGGATGGAGGAGCTAAATATAAAATATTATTAAAATTATTATTATTATTAAATAATAGCAGGTTACTAACGAAACAGGAAGTGATAAGAATATTTTACCGGTTGGTTCAGTTGGAGCTTCGATGGGTGTTTCTATCACAGGTTCTGATGCTTCTGGAATTTCTTCTTCTGATTCACTATCCTCAGTCTTCTTACGTTTCTCACCCGGCTTGCCTTTCACTCCTACTTTGAACGCGTATTCCTTGTCCTTTTCCAATACCTCTTCTTGCGGCTCCTTTGGAGCTGCAATGGAAAAAGTAACGCGTACTTCACTCATCACCACAATTATTAAGCTTTTCACTCAGGAATCAACAAAAAACCCAATGACAGTTTCACAATAATTATTTAAGCAATGGAAACACTACTGAGAATAGGAAAAATTGCATCACCGTTTTATTGTCTATCAAATAACTCACAATTATATTTTCACAAAGCTAATTATCAATTGTATTATTACTAATTTCCTTCATATCTATTAGGCAGGCACTCATTTAAAAGGAATAATATCAAAAGACAATAATAATTATCGAATACGCCTCGATTCGGTGCCATTTGGTAAACGGAAAACCAATCCAAATCCGAGAGTATGCAATTTACCCCAAGAGAAATTATAGAATCACTCGTTCTGCTTACCAAGTGGAGACGCTTCTTTCTCCTTCTTGACACTTTCCACAATTTCCTCCTCTTTTGGAGGCTGTTCCTCCTTCGGTTCTTCAGCCTTTGGCTTATCAACCTCGACACTTACACTAGTGCTCTTGACAACTTTCTCTGGTTTATCCGAGCCTGTAGTCACTTAAAGGGATAGAAAATGCAAAGAGTAAGCCACTACATACAGCCAAGCTCAATCTCACTTGAAACGAGATGAATAACTACCTTCTGGTTTAACTTCAGTCACTTCTGAATGTCCCGTGACTTCTTCTTCTGGAAGGTCTTCTGTCTCCACCTCTTCGGTTGTTACGATCGGTTTTGGCATTTTCTTACCATCAATGACATCTCTCTCTGGCACCTCTTGACTTTCCTCTTGGGGAGATTCAGGTGCTAAGTGAAGATTTGCTAGTAAGAACTCTATATCAGCAAAATTGTCCTACCTACAGCAAATCTTCGCACATTTTTATCATTTCAATTTCGTTCAACAATGACCGAATTATTTCAATCAACTCAAGCAGTCGATACAGTTTCATATTGTAGTGTCGGAGTGTGCCATAAACTTACCTCCACGTGGTGTACCCTGGGTAACGTATACTCATGCGGCAATCACGTGGTGCACCCTGGGCAACGTATATTCATACGGCAAAAACGTGGTGCACCCTGGGCAACGCATACTCATACGGCAAAATGTGGTGCACCCTGGGCAACGTATACTCATAAGGCAAAAAGATCCCTATTAACCGGCAGTTGACTTCTGACTTCAAACTACCATACTATTAACTGGCAGTTGACTTCTCACTTCAAACTACCATCTATTAACCGGCAGTTGACTTCTGACTTCAAACTACCATGAGTACTGGGTAACGTATACTCATGCGGCAATAAAGTCTATTAACCGGCAGTTGACTTCTCACTTCAAACTACCATCACCCTACTGTATGTCATATTCGACCCCTTCCACAGTATTCACCCCACCTTTGTCCTACCATCGTGTCTGTCTGTCTCTTTTACATCTTTGGAACCCTTTGACTGTCCCCCCCTCTCGACTTTTTCACTCTGATGTTCCTCCTCCTCTCTGTGAAGCCCGAAGTCAGCTTAACGGCTAATGATAACTATCAAAACGCCTGACATTTGAAATAGACAAATATTGTGGTGTCTTAGTAGTAGCCCTTTGTTCAGAAGGAAATAAGAGTAACCGCAAGAGTTTCGGACGGTGTG